GTTCCCAAAAACACAGTGTTAGCAGGATCATCCCTATTCAGTGCCAGCACTAGTGTTTAGGTCCCTCTACTGTTTTCACAGAGATTTGGATGAATTGATTGTGGGCCAAAGCAATTTATATGCACAACAATACATCCCAAATTCAACTCTTGCCAGGCAATTCTCATGGAAACCTATCACAGTTTCTAAATGTAATACTTTTTAAATGGGAACATGGGTATTAAAAAAAAAAAGAATGAACTGTGGTCATATTGGTTCACAGAGGTGCGATTCATCATATGTCTATGTTCTCTGCTGTTACATATATGCCCAACAAGGACCAGCAATGTACTGGTACATTTCTGTACTTTGAGGGGTTATATCTGGATGATGCATGCAGCTACAGGCATCATCCTGGTATAATTTTGTTTCAGCTGGCAGTCGGCTGTTTTAATGTAAAAAAAATTCTAACATCTTAATTAGCCACTGGATTGCTTTTACAAGCAGCAGAAAGGGACTCCCCCACCCCTCCAGGTGCCTTCCAAGGTTTTCTTGGGCTCTCTTGTCCCACAGGGGAACCCAAAAATGCAGCCGGCAGATCCGTTGGCTGACAATAGAGCTGATCAGAGACTGGAATGCCTCCAATCAGCTTTATGGTCTAAGATCTGAAGCTACGCGCATTTCATTATTTCCAGCTTTTGCCAGATATAAAACATTTTAAAATTGGGAAAAAGCATCTGATCACACATGATCTTGGTGTGATCAGAATGTTTTAAGGGCAGAGGAGAGATCTAGAGTCTAACAGACCCCAGATTTGTCATAAAAGAGTAACTGTCATAATTACTTTCCATGTGATAACTAGAGATGAGCGAATCGAACATGACGAAGTGGAATTCGTTTTGAAGATTAGGAAATATTCGATTCGCGCCGAATCCGAAAATTAGCAAACTTCGGATGCACGAATCAAATTTTTCCAAAAAATGGCGGCGACATGTGTGGCGACGGAGCGGGGATCTCTGGGAAGGCGCGGCAGACAAGGCGCGCTGACCCATAATGCATTCATTCATGACATGTGATCGCATTAGCCAAATCAGCAGCTAGCCAGCCAGCATGTGTAATGGTGGAGCTATAAATCACCAAGCCATCTTAGAAATTCTCCATTAGCCTCCGGTCATTCAAGAGAGACAGACCTGTGTGTATTAGGTGGACAGAGTTAGGGCCACAGAGACTTTAGGGCCACAGAAATCGTTACTCCGGGACACAGAATCGTTACTTAGGGACAACAGAATCGTTACTCAGGGACACAGAATTGTTACTCAGGACACAGAATTGTTACTGTCAGGGGACAGACACAGAATTGTTACTCAGGGACACAGAATTGTTACTCCAGGGACAGGACACAGAATTGTTACTCAGGGACACAGAATTGTGTTACTCAGGGACACAGAATTGTTACTCAGGGGAAACTGAATTGTTACTGAGGGACACAGAATCGTTACTGCAGGGACACAGAAATCGTTACTGAGGGACACAGAATCGTTACTCAGGGACCCAGAATCGTTACTCAGGGACACAGAATTGTTACTCAGGGACACAGAATCGTTACTCAGGGACACAGAATTGTTACTCAGGGACACAGAATCGTTACTCCAGGGACACAGAATCGTTACTGAGGGACACAGAATCGTTACTGAGGGACACAGAATTGTTACTCCAGGGACACAGAATCGTTACTCAGGGACGCAGAAATCGTTACTCAGGGACGCAGAATCGTTACTCAGGGACACAGAATCGTTACTCAGGGGACACAGAATCGTTACTGAGGGGGGGACACAGAATCATTACTCAGGGACACAGAATCGTTACTCAGGGACACAGAATTGTTACTCAGGGACACAGAATCGTTACTCAGGGACACAGAATCGTTACTCAGGGACACAGAATCGTTACTCAGGGACACAGAAATATCGTTATGAGGGACACAGAATCGTTACTCAGGGACACAGAATCGTTACTCAGGGATACAGAATCGTTACTCAGGGACACAGAATGGTTACTCAGGGACACAGAATTGTTACTGAGGGACACAGAATCGTTTACTCAGGGACACAGAATGGTTTACTCAGGGACACAGAATTGTTACTCAGGGACACAGAATCTTTACTGAGGGACACAGAATTCGTTACTCAGGGACACAGAAATCGTTACTCAGGGACACAGAATCGTTACTCAGGGACACAGAATGGTTACTCAGGGACACAGAATCGTTACTCCAGGGACACAGAATCGTTCTTTATTTTTGGGGTGCTTATTGAAATAAGAGTATGTCAAACAAACACGCAGAGTAGTGGCAGAGGAGGCAATGTTTCAGGAAGCGAGCAGACGTGGCAGCAGAGGAAGGGGTCGAGGCAGCACTAGTCGCAGCCAGAGGCCAGTGCTCCCGGTGGTCATCCAGCAGTGTGTCTCCACCGACAACCCTGCCATCATCGATTGGTTGGCTCGGTCGTCTTCCACTTTCCCAGGTCACCTCTGACACCTACAGCCAACGGTCGGTGTGTACGTCAGACACAACCGTTAGTTGGCATGGCCCGGGAGCAAGCCCACTGAAATCACGTGTCCTCCACATGCCCCCTGTCCTTTGGTGTTCCCTCACCAAGCGAAGTATCGCATGCTGTGGGCTCAGCCCCACTGTACAGTGAGGAAGAGCTAACAGAGGGCGGTCAGGAACGGGGGGGAGACATCCGCCTCTTCAGCAGCCAGGCGAAGAAGTACTGGCGAGGAGAGTGGCTCGGTAGCCGGTCTAGAGACAGGTCTTCTTCTCCTGACCCACACGCAGACGAGGGGGCTAGTAGTGAGGCGGAGACCCTAATTGATGATGATGAGGCTGATCGCACTTGGCAGCCTCGTCGTCATCAGGCTATTGCTTCCGCATCATCAGGGAGAAAGAGGGTGCCAGCTTGGCCAGCGAGCAAAACAGTCGGTGGGTTGCCCAGGAGGCAGCAGGGTCGCAGCAGTGTCAGTGGAGGCAAACGGCCACGGAGTAGAGCACCAGCTCCACTGCAGCCTACCAACCTACGGCCAGTATGTGTGCCGGTGTGCACGGGGGAATTAGCAGTCAGCCAGTGAGGAGTAGCGGGGGCAAAGTTTCGGCGGTGTGGCAATTTTTCGTCAAGCCGCCGGGGAAGTTAAACGTAGCCGTATGTCGACTATGTGGCCAGGGAAAGTCAAGCGTGTGGCCAGGGGGCCCATGTTGGGACTACAGCGTTGGGTCCAGCAATATGCAGCGTCGCCATTCGGTGGCCTGGGAAACCGTGATAAAGATACGGCGGTTTCTGCCTGCCCCAGCCCCCGCTCCATCACCCGCTCGTTACTTGCTCCGTCACCCGACGTCAATCGCCCTCTATCAGCCAGTCAAGGCTCCAACACCTCTGCTGAGGGGAGTTGTCGCTCGTTGGCATCTTCCGCTCGTTCAGATGCTCCTTCTCCTGCTATCCTCTTCACGGATTCCGTCAGCAGTCTTTTCTTGGAATCCGTTCCAAGAGACAACAGTTTGCGAGCACACACCCGACAGTGCAGAAGCTGAACGTCCTCTCTGTCCAAGTTGCTGGTGCTGCAGTCCCTCCCTTTCGCAAGTGGGTGGACTCAGCACCTTTCCGAGAAATGATGGCTTGTGCCGAGCCGCGGTGGAAGTGCCAAGCCGTCATTTCTTCGCCAAAAGGCAGTGCCAGTCCCTGCATTCACATGTAGAAGAGATGGTGGGCCAGTCTTTGAGGCATGTTCGGTCTCTGCCAAAGTGCACCGCAGCGCCGACGTGTGGAGCTGTAACTACGGTCAGGGACAGTACATGTCATTTACGGCCCACTGGCGTGAACGTGGTGCCGGCACAGCAGCGCACCAGCAACTTGGACAGGTCACGCCGCTTTTGCCTCCCACGTTTGCACGTCCTTGGTCCAGCAAAGATGTCCGCCTCTACCACCTCTTCTTCCGCCGTGTCCTCAGCCGCCACCCCAGTGCCAAGTCCCCATTACCCGACCAGTCATATCACATGTGCAGGGCGCAACGGTAGTCGACGACTATCAAGACGTCCAATGGCAGAGTGGCGGAGCAGAAGCAGCTTCAAATATTGAAGGCCATACACAGCCTAGGTTTTAAAAGTCCCCTCACAGTTAATTCAATAACGAAACTCTACTCTCCGTGACAATCTACTTACAAGACCCTGGGGCAGATCTGGGTCCAATTTTGTGGTAGAGACTGGTTTTGTTCAGCCATGCTTTGAGCGAGTAATCAACAGGTCTGTGCTGCCCTTTGGTGTCGGGCTTAATGCGCACAACACTGAACGTCCCAGCGTTTGGCAACGATTTGCCGTTAAGTGATGCAAACCCGCTGAACCAACGTTCATGAGGAGTCCGGTACAGGAGGCATGAATCAGTATGGACCTGGCAGCAGCGTGAGCAGACGACAGAGGCACATGGCGCAGGGTGGCAGTGTAGGCAGCATTATTCTGAAGCCATACACAGGCCTAGTTAAAAAGCGGAAGCCATCAGCAGCAGTGAGCAGACGACAGAGGCACATGGCGCAGGGTGGCGGTGGATGCAGCAGTATTTGGAAGCCAAACACAGGCTCGGTTAAAAAGCGGAAGCGTCAGGCAGCGTGAGCAGACGACAGAGGCACATGGCGCAGAGTGGCGGTGGAGGCAGCAGCAATGAAGGCCATTCAGTACCTGACCCTAATCACAAAATGGAACCCACAACAGTGTAAGGAGACCTGAAAGTGGCACATGGCAGAGTCTGGCGATGAAGTCAGCAGCAATGGAGGCCGTACAGGGACCCATGACACCCTCTGGACCTGGCAGCAGCAAGAGGAGGCGGTACCAGGGCCCATGGTGCCAGATGAAGCGAAGCCGTAAGCAGCTTAAATTGAAGGCATATACAGAGGCCTATGTTAAAAAGTCCTCCCCAGCAAAGCAGCGTGGGAGACGACTGTTAGCTCCGCCACTCTGCCATGGTCCCCTGTACGCCTCCTCATGCTTGCTTGCCAGGCCCGTAATCTGCCATGGGCCCCCGTAACCCGACTCCTACAAGCTGCTGCCAGGCTCCGTAATCTGTCATGGGGCCCCCTGTACCGCCTCCTCATGCTGCTGCCAGGTACCAGAGTGTGTCATGGGTCCCTGTACGGCCTCCCATTGATGCTGTCTCCATCGCCACACTCTGCCATGTGCCACTTTCAGGTCTTCCTACACACGCTGGTGGGTTCCATTTTGTCATAGGGTGCTCTGTATGGCCTCCCATTGCTGCTGCCAGGCCTCAGGCCCGTAATCTGTCATGGGCCCCTGTACCACCCCCGCCTCCTCATGCTTCTGCCAGGTCCAGAGTGTGTCATGGGTCCCTGTAACGGCCTCCCATTGCTGCTGTCTCCATCGCCACACTCCTGCCCATGTGCCACTTTCAGGTCTCCTCACACTGGTGGTTGTTCCATTTTGTCATAGGGTGCTGTATGGCCTCCCATTGCTGCTGTGCAGGCCCGTAATCTGCCATGGGCCCCGTACCGACTCCTCATGCTGCTGCCAGCCCGTAATCTGTCATGGGCCCCCCGAACCGACTCCTCATCGCTGCTGCCAGGCCCGTAATCTGTCATGGGCCCCTGTACCGCCTCCTCATGCTGGCTGCAGGTCCAGAGTGGTGTCATGGGTCCCTGTACGGCCTCCCATTGCTGCTGTCTCCATCGCCACACTCCTGCCATGTGCCACTTTCAGGTCTCCTCACACTGCCTGGTGGGTTCCATTTTGTCATAGGGTGCTGTATGGCCTCCCATTGCTGCTAGCCAGGCCCGTAATCTGCCATGGGCCCCCGTACCGACTCCTCATGCTGCTGCAGCCCCGTAATCGTCATGGGCCCCTGTACCGCCTCCTCATGCTGCTGCCAGGTCCAAGAGTGTGTCATGGTCCCTGTACGGCCCTCCCATTGCTGCTGTCTCCATCGCCACACTCTGCCATGTGCCACTTTCAGGTCTCCTCACACTGCTGGTGGGTTCCATTTTGTCATAGGGTGCTGTATGGCCTCCCATTGCTGCTGCCAGGACCCGTAATCTGCCATGGGCCCCCGTACCGACTCTCATGCTGCTGCCAGGCCGTAATCTGTCATTGGGCCCCTGTACCGCCTCCTCATGCTGCTGCCAGGTCCAGAGTGTGTCATGGGTCCCTGTACGCCTCGCCCATTGCTGCTCGTCTCCATCGCCACACTCTGCCATGTGCCACTTTCAGGTCTCCTCACACTGCGTGGTAGGGTTCCATTTTGTCATAGGGTGCTGTATGGCCTCCCATTGCTGCTGCCAGCCCCGTAATCTGCCATGCTGGCCCCCGTACGGCTCCCTCATGCTGCTGCCAGGACCCGTAATCTGTCATGGGCCCCTGTACCACCTCCTCATGCTGCTGCCAGGTCCAGAGTGTGTCATGGGTCCCTGTACGGCTCCCATTGCTGCTGTCTCCATCGCCACACTCTGCCATGTGACCACTTTCAGGTCTCTCCTCACAACGCTGGTGGGTTCCATTTTGTCATAGGGTGCTGTATGGCCTCCCATTGCTGCTGCCAGGCCCGTAATCTGTCATGGGCCCCCGTACCGACTCCTCATGCTGCTGCCAGGCCCGTAATCTGTCATGTGGGCCCCTGTACCGCCTCCTCATGCTGCTGCCAGGTCAGAGGTGTTGTCATGGGTCCCCTGTACGGCCCTCCCATTGCTGCTGTCCTCCATCGCCACCACTCTGCCATGTGCCACTTTTCAGGTCTTCGCCTCACACTGCTGGTGGGTTCCATTTTGTCATAGGGTGCTGTATGGCCTCCCATTGCTGCTGCCAGGCCCGTAATCTGCCATGGGCCCCCCGTACCGACTCCTCATGCTGCTGCCAGGTCCCGTAATCTGTCATGAGGGTCCCCGTACCGAACTCCTCATGCTGCTGCCAGGCCGTAATCTGTCATGGGCCCCTGTACCGCCTCCTCATGCTGCTGCCAGGTCCAGAGTGTGTCAGATAGGTCCCTGTACGGCCTCCCATTGCTGCTGTCTCCCATCGCCACACTCTGCCATGTGCCCACTTTCAGGTCTCCTCACACTGCTGGTGGGTTCCATTTTGTCATAGGGTGCTGTATGGCCTCCCATTGCTGCTGCCAGGGCCCGTAATCTGCCATGGCCCCCGTACGACTCCTCATGCTGCTGCCAGGCCCGTAATCTGTCATGGGCCCCTGTACCCTCCTCATGCTGCTGCCAGGTCCAGAGTGTGTCATGGGTCCCTGTACGGCCTCCCATTGCTGCTGTCTCAATCGCCACACTCTGCCATGTGCCACTTTCAGGTCTCCTCACACTGCTGGGTGGGTTCCATTTTGTCATAGGGTGCTGTATGGCCTCCACCCCCCCCCATTGCTGCTGCCAGGGCCGTAATCTGCCATGGGCCCCCGTACCGACTCCCATTTGCTGCTGCCAGGCCCGTAATCTGTCATGGTGCCCCTGTACCGCCTCCTCATGCTGTCTAGCTGCCAGGTCCAGAGTGCGTCATGGGTCCCTGTACGGCCTCCCATTGCTGCTGTCTCCTCCATCGCCACACTCTGCCATTGGCTGCCACTTTCAGGTCTCCTCACACTGCTGGTTGGGTTCCATTTTGTCATAGGGTGCTGCATGGCCTCCCATTGCTGCTGCCTCCACCGCCACAATGTGGCTCCACACTCTGGTTTTGGTCCCCGTGACTGCCAAAATGAGTGAAGTGTGCTGGTGATTCTAAGATCGACGGCACTCATCTGCATGTCATACTACTGACTGACAGTATTATTTCTCTTCCCCAGCAGACTCCAAGGGCATTTAAATTAAAGGTACAGTGTTCTGCACTAATATAAAGGCTCTCTGAAGCCTAGAAACACCCTTTTTATAAGTTAAATTCACAGCGAATATATTTGCATCGAATCGAATTTATTCCGCGAATTCGGCGAATCAGCCGAATCGAATTTTTGAATAATTCGCACATCTCTAGTGTTGGATAACAATAAAAGTGATCGGGAAAAAAAAAGGAAAGAGACAGTGTAAAAATTATTTAAAATGTGAAATAAATGATTAAAAAAAAAATTCACCCCCACTCCCATCCCCTGTGCTCATGCTCAAAGGAAAACGCAAGCGGTGGTCCATGGTCATATGTTAGCAGAGGTTGCACCATACATGTGAGGTATCACTGCCAATGTCAGAGCAAAGGCAGTAATTCTAGCACTAAACTCCTGTGTAAATTTAAAGTGTTGATCTCTAAAAAAGGCTTTTAAAACGATGCCTATGGATAATAAAAATGTATGTAGTTTGTCACCATTGCACGGGCAATGCGCAATATTAACCCCTTGCCTACAGGGCACTTATACCCCCTTCCTGCCCAGGCCAGTTTCAGCGCTGTTGACATCTTTGATTGACTATTGCGTGGTCATGCAACACTGTACCCATATGAACTTTTTATCATTTTTTTGAAACAGATAGAGCTTTCTTTTGGTGGTATTGAATCATCTCTGGGTTTTCTATTTTTTGCTAAACAAACCAAAAACAACTGAAAATTTCGGAAAAAAACCCAAATTTTTTTCTTAGTTTTTGTTATAAAATGTTGTAAATAAGTGATTTTTCTCCTTCACTGATGTGCACTAATGAGACTGCAGTGATGAGCACTGATAGGCTGCACTGATGGGCATTGACAAGCATCACTGATGGGCACTGAAAGGCAGCACTCATATATGACACTGATAGGCAACACTGATAGGCGGCACTGATAGGCAGCACTGACAGGCACTGATAGGCGGCACTGATAGGTGGCACTGATTGGGCACTGATAGGCAGCACTGACTGGCACTGATAGGCGGCACTGACTGGCACTGATAGGTGGCACTGACTGGCACTGATAGGTGACACTGAAAGGCAGCACAGATGGGCACTGATATGTGGCATTGATGTGCACTGGTAGGCATTGATATGTGGCATTGATGAGGCACTGATGGGCACTAGCAGGTGGCACTGCTGGGCTACATTGATCATCAGGGCACACTGATCATCAGTGCCCTGATGATCAGTGTACATGTCCCCTCCAAGGAATGCTGATTACGGGCTCTCCTCTCGAACTGTCAGCATGACAGCTCATGAGGAGAGAAATGCCAATAACTGGCATTTCTCTATTTACATGCAAAAGCTTTTGAGAACGTGCTTTCGCACGAAACATGTCAGGAAGCTGCCCTCAGTGACATACCACGTGGCTTTCCATATATGGCCAGCGGCCATCTTTATTAATGTACATACAAAGTGTGAGTTTTATTCCTTTATGTTTGGATATACCTTAATTTTATTAAAGCAGTTTTGCACTATGGAATTCTTTGTGCTTGGGCTCATTTTGTTATGAGCCTTCCCTTTCAAGGAGACCATTGATGACATCCACAAGTGTTGGCTCCCCCTGGTGTTCTTGGATTGCGCTCCTGGTACCTGGAAGCCCTGATGGTGCACTATAATTCCTGCTGATGCCCACCAGATGACCCGATGTTCCAGATGCCTAGATGCGGATGACCAGGAGTTGGTTTAATCACTCAAATGCGCTTGATTTTGCGCTATCTGGTTAGTGCAATCTACACTTATTTACCATACCACTAATGTCACGGTTGCCAACTGGTTATAGACGATTGACTGCTATTTCACTATATGCACTTATACTAATCCCAGCGTGCTGTGTAGCATTATATTCATTTCTGAAGTACTTTTTGGGATATATCATCCACCCGAGAGATGTTAATATTTCTATGACCCACTACTAAGGTCACACTGGAATTTTTGATGATATTTAACATTTTCTAGCGCTGCATGTTGTATATATATATGTTTTCCCAGAAGGTTCAGGGGTGTTGCCTTTCATGCTAGCTGCTTTTTGCACATAGATCCAGCGCTCGTTTTGTATTATATTATGATAATTGAGCAATATATTATTGTGTTTTTGTGTATTAAAATTCTAAAAAGTGCATTTTTTCCCCACAAAGTGTGTTTGAAAAATCACTGCGCAAATACTGTGTGACATAAAAAATTTCAACATCCACCAATTTAATGTATTCTCTAGTGCCTCTGCTTTAAAAAAATATATAATGTTTGGGGATTCAAAGTAATTTTCTAACAGAAAACCCCAGCTTTTTTATGTAAATAAAACATGTCAGAAAAGACTTCAAGTGGTTAGAAGAGTGGGTGGTGTGTGGCATAAGCTTCCAGTGTTGGCACTGGATAGTAGAAGCATCCCCCCAAATTACCAGTTTTTAGAAAGTAGACAGTCCGACAGTCCAAGGTATTTGCTAAGGGGCATGGCGAGAATTTTGCAGATATTATTTGTTGCCGCAAGCTTTTGGAAAACAAAAAAACAAAACCCTGTGACAAAAATGATATCTGCAAAATACTCACCATGCCTTTTATCAAATTCCTTGGGGTGTCTACTTTACAAAAAGGGGTCATTTGGGGTGTGTGTGTACTATTCTGGTATTTTAAGGCCTCCGAAACTGTGATAGGTAGTGAGGAATTGACATGAGGAAATATGTCCTTTGAAAGCCTGGGGTGGTCAATGGATTTTCGGGGCTTGTATGTAGCTAGGCTGCCAATAATTCTCACATGTGGTATCCCCATACTCCGAAGAAGTAGTAGAATATGTTTTGAGGTGTTATTTCACATATACCCATGTCATGCGTGACAACTTAGGTGACAACTTTGTGTAAAAAAAGTGTCATTTTCCAAACATTTGTGGCAAAAAATAAAATCTTCCATGGATTCAGCATGCCTCTCAGAAAATTCCTTGGGGTGTCTACGCTACGCTTTCACACAAACCAATTTAATCTACACTTATTGGGATTTTTTAACAAAGACATGTAGCAGAATACATTATGGCCTAAATTTATGACCAACTTTGAGTTTATTATATATTTTTGATAACCAAAAGTAGAAAATATAATGTTTTTCAAAATTTTCATGTTTTTTTCATTTATATCACAGAAAATAGAAAACCCAGTGGTGATCAAATACCACTAAAAGAAAGCTCTATTTGCGTGAAAAAAATGACATACATTTTGTTTGGGTACCTCGTTGCATGACCATGCAATTACCAGTTGAATGCTGAATAGCAAAAAATGGCCTGGTCATTAAGAGGGTAGATCTTCCGGGGTGGTGAGTGGTTAAAGATCAGTAGACATATCAGTTCTTTTATCAATTGCTATGTTACCTAAATGGTCATTCAACCATTCTCTTAAAGGATAAGTTCACTTAAAAAATTATTTTTTGCAGGTAAAAAAACGTGCATTTACTAATTTTTTTTTTTTTTTGGAGACTAGAAAGCATTGCACCAGTGCTCAGCAGATCACTGGTGCCATGCAGGACTCCTGCAAACCTGTCAAGCAGATACACTGTAGCAGGAAGAAAATAATGAACTACCACAGTGCTCAACAGCACCGTGGTAGTTCATCGAGAACTGCATGCTGACAGCTGCAAAGGCTGAACTCTGTGAATGAATTACGAGGCCATCACTTAAAAAGATGACAGCTAGTATGGGGAACTTTTCCCTGTACTGCTGTGACCGGGAGAAACGATAGCGAACAGCTGCAGCAGTGGGAACATGTTACATATTCCAACCTAAAACATGTAACATGTTTCCAAATGTGAACTTATCCTTGAATCTCTTCATGGTATGACCTATATACTGAATACTGCATTCCATAAACTCTATCAGATATAATATACAATAAATGTAAGACATATAATGTAACGACCAACTTATTCAGACATGTGTATAAAAATTGTTTACTCGCTTTTACACGAGTGCAAAAAGGACAACGATTACAGACACATCTATTTATGCCCTTCATAATGAAGGGTCAGTTCACACTAGTAAAGAGAGCAAAGTTTTTCTGCATAAGATAAACACAGTTTTTTGCAAGGGCACACAGAAAACAATGGTTTTCTGTGTACTCTGGTCACTCAGTTCAGCTGAGCATCTGTGCATAGAAATTAATGGAATGTCACTTTGTGGCATTCCATTAATGTTTGGAAAAGAAAGGGGAAATGGTACCTTGTATTGTACAAATGCAAGGCGCCACCCCATCCCTCCTTTTCCGGCAGCTGCCACCACTACCTGCAAAGGAAAATTAAACATTTTTTTTTCTGTGGGTAGTGTGAACCTACTGTAACCAGGTACTATTTCCCCACGTTTTAAAAAACATACTGGAGTATAAATAGTTACCTACTGTATTTTGAGAGCTCTTTTTTCCTACCACTTTCACATCAAAAAAGATTTGGAATAAACAGGATTCCAGGATGTATTAACATGCAAGTATCTTTGTATAATTATTTTTCTATTCTCAAATTCAAGACTTTATTCAATGGCACATGTCAGTTTGTCATTATTATTATTTCCTGTCTGCCCTATTAATAGTAATGTTGAGAGCTCTATTCAAATTATCAATTGTAAAAATTATTATGACTTCTTTCTTTGAATTGTTGCCATGATTCATCTGCAGTCTTTTTTAAATCCTCAAAAAGAACTATGGTTTTGGCATAGCCAAATAAATTGTCTAACAGGGATTCCTCTAACATTATGTCTAAGGTATCCTGACTACAGATGAGTAAAGCCCAGACATAGGGTCGAACTCTTCTGAAGTCTAAGTGTAGGCGAACCTTGTAATTCCTTAGTTGCTGGAATGTTAACAAACAAATTAGGATCTTGGGTGACATCATTGATCATATTTGGGAAACATCATCATGTGAAAGGGAAATCATTCGTTGGTGGTTTATCATGATTGACAGTGGATCTACATCACTGAATGGTGTGATTGACACTCATATTTACATGGTGTGGGAATGTTCATTTTTTTTCATGTAATTTATGAAAGCATTCTTTCATGGTGGTGGTGTCTTTTTTTTAACTCTGTGGCAATGTTGAAAGGCATGTGGCCTGCTATGGTACAGGAAGAGGGAGCTTGGGCATGCCCGCTTTTCTCCATTTCCTGGTAACCTAGGTTGCATGCCTGAATAAGGGTCTGGTTAGAATTGTAGGGTTAACCCTATATCTTTTTTCCTGTTTTTCATACACACACACACACTGACAAAATTATTCGGACACTCCTCCAAATAATTGGATTCAAGTGTTCCAATCACCTCCATGGCCCAGTTGTGTAAAATCAAGCACCTAGGCATGCAGACTGCTTCTACAAACATGTGTGAACAAATGGGTCACTCTCAGGAGCTCAGTGAATTCAAACATTGTACTGTGATAGATTGCCACCTGTGCAATAAGTCATTCAGTTTAATTTCCTCGCTACTAATTATTCCATGGTCAACTATTAGTGGTATTATAACAAAGTGGAAGTAACTGGGAACAACAGCAACTCAGCTACGAAGTGGTAGGCCACGTAAAATAACAGAGTGGGGTCAGCTCATGCAGAAGCACACAGTGCGCAGAAATCGCCAACTGTCTGCAGAGTCAATAGCTAAAGACCTCCAAACTTCATGTCGCCTTCAGATTAGCACAAAAACGGTGCATAGAGAGTTTCATGGAATGGGTTTCCATGGCCAAGCAGCTGCATCCAAGCCTTACATCACCAAGTGCAATGCAAAGCATCGGATGCAGTGGGGTAAAGCACACCACCACTGGACTCTAGAGCAGTGGAGACATGTTCTCTGCAGTGATGAATCATGCTTCTCTGTCTGGAAATCCGATAGACGTGTCTGGGTTTGGTAGTTGCCAGTAGAAAGGTACTTGCCTGACTGCATTGTGCCAAGTGTAAAGTTTAGTGGAGGGTGGATTATGGTGTGGGGTTGTTTTTCAGGGGTTGGGCTTGGCCCCTTAGTTCCAGTGAAGGGAACTCTTAAGGCATCAGCATACCAAGACATTTTGGACAATTTCATGCTTCCAATTTTGTGGGAAGAGTTTGGGGATGGCCCCTTCCTGTTCCAACATGACTTCACACCAGGGCACAAAGCAAGGTCTATAAAGACATGGATTAGCGAGTTTGGGGTGGAGGAACTGGCCTGCACAGAGACCTGAGATCAAACCGACAGAATACCTTTGGAATGAATTAGAGCGGAGACTGCGAGCCAGGCCTTCTCATCCCACATCAGTGCCTAATCTGACAAATACGCTTCTGGAAGAATGGTCAAACATTCCCATAGACAGACCCCTAAACCTTGTGGACAGCCTTCCCAGAACAGTTGAAGCTGTTATAGCTGCAAAAGGTGGGCCAACTCAATACTGAACCCTACAGACTAAGATTGAGATGCCATTAAAGTTCATGTGCGTGTAAAGGCAAGTGTCCCAATACTTTTGGCAATATAGTGTGTATATAAATATATATATATATATTGCATTTTATGCATATTTATATGCATGTCACTTTTAGCACAAACATAAAAAGGCATGAGGTTCTCCTTTGGTTCAAACCATGTACTTTTGCAGGCATGCTACAGTGGAAAGGGTTTTGTTGCAGGAAATGGAGGTCAGAAAGTGTGCTCCCCTTTCTGTACCTCATCCCAATGTTGAGGGTCAAGGGCCTTCTTGTCCACAAGGTAGGGGTTTAACCGCCTCCCGCCCGCAATATAGTCCAATGACGGACACAAGGTGGTTCTCTCATTCTGGGAGGACATCATATGACGTCCTCCCATTCTCACCGAGCATGTGCGGCACCGGGAGCGCGCAGCGCGGCGATCGGCGGTGCGCTGTGTCCCTCGGACACAGTGGATCACCGATCCACGGAAAGAGCCAAAGATGTCGGCTCGGTCATGTGATCAGCTGTGTCCAATCACAGTTGATCTCATGTAAATAGGGAAATGCTGATTATCGGCATTTCTCTCCTCACGAGCTGTCACGCTGTCACGCTCGGCATTCCTCGGAGGGGACATGTGCACTGATCATCAGGGCACTGATGATCAGTGTGCCCTGATGATCAGTGTAGCCCCAGCAGTGCCACCTGTCAGTGTCCATCTGTGCCAGCTGTCAGTGCTCATCCATGCTACCTGCCAGTGCCCATCAGTGCCACAACAATGCCACATATCAGTGCCTACCAGTGCGTATCAATGCCACATATCAGTGTCCATCTGAGCTGCCTTTTAGTGTCACCCATCAGTGCCACCTATCAATGCCAATCAGTGCTGCCAATCAGTGCCACCTATCAGTGCCAGTCAGTGCCGCCTATCAGTGTGCATCAGTGCCGCCTATCAGTGCCCGTCAGTGCTGCCTATCAGTGCCGCCTATCAGTGCCGCCTAACAGTGCCAGTCAGTGCCACCTATCAGTGCCACCTATAAGTGCCCATCAGTGATGCCTGTCAATGCCCATCAGTGACACCTACCAGTGCCTCCTCATCAGTGCCCATCAATGCCACCTATCAGTGCCCATCACTGCAGCCTCATTAGCGCACATCAGTGAAGGAGAAAAATCACTTATTTACAAATATTTTTAACAAAAACTAAGAAATAACGTTTTTTTTTTTAAATTTCAGTGGTTTTTGGTTTGTTTAAGAAAAAATAAAAAACCCAGAGGTGATTAAATACCACCAAAATAAAGCTCTATCTGTCACAAAAAAAAAAAAATTTCATATGGGTACAGTGTTGCATGACCGCGCAACTGTCATTCAAAATGTGACAGTGCTGAAAGCTGCAAATTGTCCTGGGCAGGAAGGGGGTATAAGTGCCCTCTAGGCTAGTGGTTAAAGCAGGCTCTTATAGAAATCTGCGCACCCCTTGTGTAATAAGAGGGTGCCCAAATATTTCCTACACCCAGAGGAACGAGTAGAGAGAGTATTAATACTCCATACCCATTAGACCCAAATCTTATTCCTAGACCTGACCTGACGTGTGAGTAAATTACCCCAACTGTGTTTCATATAACTCCTTGTGTTCAGAAATCCATATCTGTGAAATAAATAACATCTAAATATGGAATTTAATCCTCATTTTCAGGACCTGTATGTTTTAGGTTTACATCACTATAATTCAAATATCCTAAAATGTGCCCCAAATCTTACTCTTGACCCAAACAAAGATCAGGTAATCTATTTATCTAGTCACAAAATGTACTGTATGTATGCTCCAAATGGATTGCTATCCACATAGAAGTGGAGCTTATACCACTCATGTATGTTTCTAAAGATTGGAAAATGAGGGTGAAAACCTTGAGGCTACACATTTCTGCAGATAGCTATTTGAATCAAAACAATACCGATTGTGGGTCAGTAAATAACCCAGTGCTCTAATAACAAATTATGTTTGCTTTAGAGTGATCTACTTTCTCCAGGACCTGTGAAATGACATTTAAACCTGCAGAATAGGAGACAGCAATGAGCTGAACTGCTCTCAGTCTGGTTTGACAGGTGTTCTGTGATACCGAAATCTGTGATGCCAAACCTCATTGAACTCAGTGGGAGCTGAATCTGCCAAATGCACATGCAAATGGACAAGAGGGTGTCAAAAATAGCATGGGGGACACTGCTCTGCACTGTTCCCAGGGGCGGACTGACCATTTGAAAACTCGGGCACTGCCCGAGGGCCCGGGGTCAGTGGGGGGCCCCATGAGATGCCCCTGGTACCTTTTTCATAGGCTTTTTTGAGTTTGGGCAAGGATACAGGGGCCCCATGATCCCCTATTGCCCGGGGGCCCCATGAGTTGTCAGTTCACCCCTGACTGTTCCCCAACATGTACCAATGCATTTTTTTCTAAATTACACGCAGCCATTAGCAGTGATTTTTTTTAGAACTGACATATACAAAAGAAAAAAGTTTTAAAACACCTTTTAAGTAAGGTTTTAAAATTGGCAGCAAATGACTTTGACAGTTTTCATTGACAGTTTCTTTGTTTAAAAAAAAAAAAGTTGGGGGTGCTGTTTCCTAAAAACAAAAAAGGAAGCTGGAAACAAATGTTATTTAACCACTTGCCCTCAAGAGGATTTACCCCCTTCCTGACCAGGCCATTTTTGGCCTTACGGTGCTGCGTTAATTTAACTGACAATTGTGCAGTCATGCAACGCTGCACCCAAATTAAATTTATGTCCTTTTTCCCCATGAAAATAACTTTCTTTTGGTGGTATTTGATCGCCTGTGTGTTTTTTATTTTTTGCACTATAAAAAAAAGACAATTTTGAGAAAAAAAACTATATTTTTGACTATCTGCTATTAAACATGTTCAAAAAAAAAAAAAAAAAAAAATTTCCTCAAATTTAGGCCAAAATGTATACTGCTACATGTCTTTGCTAAAAAAAATCCCAATACGTGTAAATTAATTGGTTTACGTGAAAGTTATAGCGTTTACAAATGGCGGTATACAGTGGGGCAAAAAAGTATTTAGCCAGCCTCCAATTGTGCAAGTTCTCCCACTTAAAAAGATGAGAGAGGCCTTTAATTGGCATCATAGGTAGACCTCAACTATGAGAGACAAAATGAGAAAAAAAAATCCAGACAATCACATTGGCTGATTTGGAAATAATTTATTTGCAAATTATGGTGGAAAATAAGTATTTGGTCAATATCAAAAGTTCATCTCAATACTTTGTTATATATCCTTTTTTTGGCAATGACAGAGGTCAAACGTTTCCTGTAAGTCTTCACAAGGTTGGCACACACTGTCGCTGGTATGTTGGCCCATTCCTCCATGCAGATCTCCTCTAGAGCAGTGATGTTTTTGGGGCTGTCACTGGGCAACACAGACTTTTAACTCCCTCCAAAGGTTTTTTATGGGGTTGAGATCTGGAGACTGGCTAGGCCACTCCAGGACCTTAAAATGCTTCTTACAAAGCCACTCCTTTGTTGCCCGGCGGTATGTTTGGGATCATTGTCATGTTGGAAGACCCAGCCACGTTTCATCTTCAATGCCCTTGCTGATGGAAGGAGGTTTGCACTCAAAATCTCACGATACATGGCCCTATTCATTCTGTCTTGTACATGGATCTGTCGCCTGGTCCCTTTGCGGAGAAACAGCCCCAAAGCATGATGTTGCCACCCCCATGCTTCACAGTAGGTATGGTCTTCTTTGGATGCAACTCAGCATTCTCTCTCCTCCAAACATGACAAGTTGTTTTTCTACCAAACAGTTCTATTTTGGTTTCATCTGACCATATTACATTCTCCCAATCCTCTTCTGGATAGCCAAATGCTCTCTAGCAAACTTCAGACGGGCCCAGACATGTACTGGCTTAAGCAGGGGGACACGTCTGGCACTGCAGGATCTGAGTCCCTGGCGGTGTAGTGTGTTACTGATGGTAGCCTTTGTTACGTTAGTCCCAGCTCTCTGCAGGTCATTCACTAGGTCCCCCCGTGTGGTCCTGGGATTTTTGCCCACCGTTCTTTTGATAATTTTGACCCCATGGGGTGAGATCTTGCGTGGAGCCCCAGATCGAGGGAGATTATCAGTGGTCTTGTATGTCTTCCATTTTATAATTATTGCTCCCCGCAGTTGATTTGTTCACACCAAGCTGCTTGCCTATTGCAGATTCAGTCTTCCCAGCCTGGTACAGGTCTACAATATTGTTTCTGGTGTCCTTCGACAGCTCTTTGGTCTTCACCATAGTGGAGTTTGGAGTGTGACTGTTTGAGGTTGTGGGCAGGTGTCTTTTATACTGATAACAAGTTCAAACAGGTGCCATTGATACAGGTAATGAGTGCAGGACAGAGGAGCCTCTTAACTAGCTGCCGACCGCAGATAGCCGAATGACGGCTGCACTGCGGCCGGCCAGTTCTGAGTGGACGTCATATGACGTCCTCCCAGAACGCGCTTTCCTGCGCGCCCCAGGGGGCGCGCACCCGGCAATCTCCGTGATTGCTGTGTCCTACGGACACAGCTGGTCACGTGATGTGGTAAAAGGCCAATCACAGCGGCCTTTTACCACGTGATCAGCGGTGTCCAATGACACGCTGATCACAGGGAAATGCAAGTGCCGGTTCTCGGCTGCACTTTCCTCACGCTGTCAGATCGTGAGGAAAGTACTGCTGAGAACCGGCAGTTGTCAGAGCGGGGATCGGCACCGATCATCAGGGCACTGATGATCAGTGCCCTGATGATCGGTGCCCAGCAGTGCCAGCCGCAAGTTCCGCCCACCTGTGCCCAGCAGTGCGCCCACTAGCTCCGCCCACCCGTGCCCAGCAGATCACCCACCTGTGCCCAGAAGTGCACCCACCTGTGCCCAGCAGTGCACCCACCTGTGCCACTCTGCAGTGCCACCTACCTGTGCCCAGACGTGCCACCCACCTGTGCCCACCCACCTGTGCCCACCAGTGCCACCCACCTGTGCCCACCCACCCACCAGTGCTGCCCACCAGTGCCACCCACCAGTGCAGCCCAGCAGTGCTGCCAGTCAGTGCCCAGGGGTTGTGCCAGTCAGTGCCGCCAGTCAGTGCCCAGCAGTGATGCCAGTCAGTGCCGTCTATCAGTACCCATAATCAGTGTCACCTATCAGTGCCACCTATCAGTGCTGCATATTAGTGCCGCCTATCCGTGACACCTCATTAGTGCTGTATCAGTGCCGCCTATCCGTGCCACCTCATTAGTACTGCCTATCAGTGCCCTTTAGTGCTGCCTATCAGTGCCCATCAGTGCCGCCTATCAGTGCCCATCAGTGCTGCCTCATCAACGCACATCAGTGAAGGAGAAAAAATACCTGTTTGAAAAATTTTATAAAAGAAACAAAGAAACTTTTTTTTTTCAAATTTTTTGCACTTTTTTTATTTATAGCGCAAAAACTAAAGTGCCCAGCGGCGATTAAATACCACCAAAAGAAAACTCTATTTGTGAGAAAAAAATTATCAAAATTTCATATGGGTACAATGTTGCATGACCGTGCAATTGTCAATCAAAGTGCGGTAGCGCTGAAAGCTGAAAATTGGCCTGGTAAATAAGGGGGTATAAGTGCCTGGTAGGCAAGTGGTTAAAGAAGAAGGTACAGGTCTGTGAGAGCCAGAAATCTTGCTTGTTTGTAGGTGAGCAAATACTTATTTTCCACCATAATTTGCAAATAAATTCTTTCCAAATCAGCCAATGTGATTGTCTGGATTTTTTTTCTCATTTTGTCTCTCATAGTTGAGGTCTACCTATGATGCCAATTACAGGCCTCTCTCATCTTTTTAAGTGGGAGAACTTGCACAATTGGAGGCTGACTAAATACTTTTTTGCCCCACTGTATTTACTGGGATTTTTTTTCTTTTTAATTTTTACTAGTAATGGCGGCGATCAGAGACTTATAGTGGGTCTGCGGGACTGTGGCGGGCATTCTGACACTGAGGGGAACTGACTTTGTGTTGCGGACATCTCCAGTGACACCAATACAGTGATCAGTGCTAATAAAAAGCACTGTATTAATGGCACTGGGCATGAATGGTTTAACATGTGGGGCGATCAAAGAGTCAACTGTGTGCTGTTTTACAATGGTTGTTGTGTTTGTGCTTCACTGTAAGAACACTGCTTTGCATGACTGTGCTGTACACAGCCATGCAAAGCAGTGTGCAGAAGCTGACAGGGAGGAGAACTGTTTTGTTTACAAACAGTTCTCCCCTCATCGGAGATCCTCAGCAATCACCGGCTGGGACCTGGTGATTGACAGCCACAGCCGAGAATGGCGGCATAGGTAGGGCGCGCGCCCCCCTACCTAGAAATGCAACATCACATATATATATATATACAGTCAGGTCCATAAATATTGGGACATCGACACAATTCTAAAATTTTTGGCTCTATTCACCACCACAATAGATTTGAAATTAAATGAACAAGATGTGCTTTAACTGCAGACTGTCAGCTTTAATTTGAGGGTATTTACATCCAAATCAGGTGAACGGTGTAGGAATGACAACAGTTTGCATATGTGCCTCCCACTTGTTAAGGGACCAAAAGTAATGGGACAATTGGCTTCTCAGCTGTTCCATGGCCAGGTGTGTGTTATTCCCTCATTACCCCAATTACAATGAGCAGATAAAGGGTCCAGAGTTCATTTCAAGTGTGCTATTTTCATTTGGAATCTGTTGCTGTCAACTCTCAAGATGAGATCCAAAGAGCTGTCACTATCAGTGAAGCAAGCCATCATTAGGCTGAAAAAACAAAACAAACCCATCAGAGAGATAGCAAAAACATTAGGCGTGGCCAAAACAACTGTTTGGAACATTCTTAAAAAGAAGGAACGCACCGGTAAGCTCAGCAACACCAAAAGACCCGGAAGACCACGGAAAACAACTGTGGTGGATGACCGAAGAATTCTTTCCCTGGTGAAGAAAACACCCTTCACAACAGTTGGCCAGATCAAGAACACTCTCCAGGAGGTAGGTGTATGTGTGTCAAAGTCAACAATCAAGAGAAGACTTCAACAGAGTGAATACAGAGGGTTCACCACAAGATGTAAACCATTGGTGAGCCTCAAAAACAGGAAGGCCAGATTAGAGTTTGCCAAACGACATCTAAAAAAGCCTTCACAGTTCTTATGGACAGATGAGACCAAGATCAACTTGTACCAGAGTGATGGGAAGAGAAGAGAATGGAGAAGGAAAGGAACTGCTCATGATCCTAAGCATACCACCTCATCAGTGAAGCATGGTGGTGGTAGTGCCATGGTGTGGGCAGGTATGGCTGCCAATGGAACTGTTTTCTCTTGTATTTATTGATGATGTGACTGCTTACAAAAGCAGCAGGATGAATTCTGAAGTGTTTCGGGCAATATTATCTGCTCATATTCAGCCAAATGCTTCAGAACTCATTGGACGCCGCTTCACAGTGCAGATGGACAATGACCCAAAGCAGACTGCAAAAGCAACCAAAGAGTTTTTTTTTAAGGGAAAGAAGTGGAATGTTATGCAATGGCCAAGTCAATCACCTGACCTGAATCCGATTGAGCATGCATTTCACTTGCTGAAGACAAAACTGAAGGGAAAATGCCCCAAGAACAAGCAGGAACTGAAGACAGTTGCAGTAGAGGCCTGGCAGAGCATCACCAGGGATGAAACCCAGCGTCTGGTGATGTCTATGAGTTCTAGACTTCAGGCTGTAATTGACTGCAAAGGATTTGCAACCAAGTATTAAAAAGTGAAAGTTTTATTTATGATTATTATTCTGTCCCATTACTTTTGGTCCCTTAAGAAGTGGGAGGCACATATGCAAACTGTTGTAATTCCTACACCGTTCACCTGCTTTGGATGTAAATACCCTCAAATTAAAGCTGACAGTCTGCAGTTAAAGCACATATTGTTCCTTTCATTTCAAATCCATTGTGGTGGTGTATAGAACCAAAAATGTTAGAATTGTGTCGATGTCCCAATATTTATGGACCCGACTGTATATATATATATAAATATTTATATATATACACATGATTTTGCGCACAGCTGCCACCCTGTAGCAGTATTTCTGCTATGGGGTGGAGCTGAAGCAGCTAAACTGCTTCATTTGTATTTCTTTGTAAATGTCATTTTTGTACATCCTACAGCAAAATGCAAACCAGATAACTTAGGTCTGACATAGGATTTTAGGGGGGTACGTTACACAAAAAAAATCTGTATGAAATCTATAGGAAATCCGTACCAGTCTAGATGCCTCCTCCCCTCGTGAATCATACCAGCTGACATACCCTCTACATGGATAACGTTTGTGGAGGGGGGCATTTGGAATCTGGAAGCCCGCTTTAACAATAAGGGGGCACCCAGATACCAGACTCTTCCCATAAGAAAGAGATGGACAAACATTTCAAAAGTCCTTAATTTAAACAAAAAAATGTAAAAGTCTGTCATAAATCTATTGAATTACAGCTGTTATGCACAAGGGGACAAGGTCTCTGGGTGACATCATTGACCATTTATGGACATGACCATATAAGGCCAATGATGTTACTGGGATCCTATCCCCTTGCTTACATGGCCAAGGATGTGAATGGGGCTGGTGACGTCACTGTTTGAAAAGACATCCTTGCCAACCAATGACAGTGGAAAGCTGTCATGTATGATAGCAGTAGTAGTAAATCACCTTTATGCATCTTGGCAACTGGTTAAATATAAACCTGATATGATATTTGGGGACTAGCACTTGTATTTGGAGAGTATGCCTAATTCTGCTTCAAGTTTAGTTAAATCATTAAGCTCCACTGTGTGTAGCGTGTTTTATCTACCATAGAAATCTTAATTTCAACCGTGTTACTGTTGTTTGCAATTATTATTGCCTCCTATTACTGAGTCATGGAAAATTAGCATTATAGCTTAATGAATTGAGCCTGTTAAATTTGTGAATCATACTGAGGATAATATATTAGAAAGAAATGTGTTGTGTCAAACATCATGTGCTATTCTTTGCATCGATACAGTATTTAACAGTCCTGCTTCCACTACACATAGCTGGCTGATTTACAGACGAGCTGTCTTACAAGGAAGTATGGTGTTAAAAGAATATGTAGATGAAAAAGATAAACATTTTCTTTTGTCTTGGAAATTCGCTTTAACGAATTTCTCCTTACCGTGAGTACTCGCAGTTGGATGCGCAGAAATCCCCCATAAAGCTGTGCAAATCTCGCTTACCACGACTGCAGCTAAACTACACAATTCCTGCCCATCCAACTACTTTTAGCTTCTGTTGAGATGTGGGGGGTGGAGCTCCCTATACCTGGAAATGATCACGCGACACTTTCAGGTTGCTGTTGGAATTCACATAGAGACTGGCTTCAGACTCAGCCCTCGGTTTTATTACAAAAACACACACGCCCCCCACATGAATAAGGTCAATTCCCTCCCACAGAACAATGCAATGGGGAGTGCCCATACACAGGATGTACATTCCGATTGGAGCATAGCCTTTCCTATTATCTATCACTGGTCCTCCCCCATGAGCCCTCTGAGGTCAGCAGACTTCCTCCCCTTCCCCCCATGAGCCCTCTGAGGTCAGCAGACTTCCTCCCCTTCCACCCATGAGCCCTCTGTGGAGAGCATATCTCCTCCCCTTCCCCCCATGAGCCCTCTATGGAGAGCATATTTCTTGTCCCAGCTCCTAGCAGTATGTTCATTCTCTGTACAAGCATTCCCTAGAAACATCAGTCTGTACCTGGATGGGCCCGATACGATCTTTATTAAAACACATCCATCCGGATACAGTTCAGGTCGGTAATGGGTTGTAAGATATGCATAAGCCTACACACGGAGTTCGTACCGCTTGGCGCCTTGCGTTATGAAGTCCATGTGGTACTATGCTGCTGATATGTGGATACAGGCCCGCGGCCCACTGCCAGCGGCATTCGCGTCGAATGCCGTGGTGGTATACACGCCGGTCTATAAGCGCAGATCTGCCATCTCATCCGTTACCGAGCTCCATGACACTTTTAATGTAAATACTACTGAAGAGAGAGAAGCTGATCAGAAAGGGGAGCACTGAAGACCTATACAATGTG